TTAAAATGCATTAATTATTTACTGGGTTTTACTTATAGTATTTTCTCTGCTGAGCAAAATCCAATTTATAATAAAATCCATGTGAACTCAGTATTAAAATTATTCAGGAAGACTTTTGATATCACCACTAGATATACATTTGTAATAGAGATTTGTTGACAATTTTTTTTTCCCAATGCATTTATACAAAAGATGCCCAACATTGGAATGATCATAAAAAAAGAGCCACTTCACAACAACATTGTTTTTCAATTTAAAAAAAAAAACAATACTGACAATGATACTAATCCAAAAACATGCCATATACTGTAATACAGGAAACCAAGGTATTATGACTGCCAATTTGTGAAAAAGACACACGCAGACATGCCCAGGGATTGAAATAGAATTTTTTCCCCTGCATGCACAGTGTGCATGTTGAATTTGAAATTTATCTGCACTAACTTGTTGTGAAATGAACCAATTTTAAAGTTTTAATAAAATTTACGGGTTATCGAATCATGCGATCACGAAAGAATTATTTTTTTTTCAAGTTGTCTTAATGTTGGTTGAACTTAATTTAGGCTTAGTGAATATAATGAGAAAATGTTCATTGCTACATGCACAGCGTGCACATTATATTTTGAGTTTACTTGCACTAGCTAATAATCTATGTGCATAGTGCAGTGTGCACCAGAGTATTTCAACCCCTACATTCATAACTGACATTTACCGGCCACAGTTTCTCTTATCACAAAATGCACTCTCAGTTTTTTTCATATTTTATTTTTTAAAAAATTCTGATTTTGACCAATATAAAAATGGCCAAAAATGAAGAACTCGTAAAAAAAAAGACATAAAAATGTGCAAAATTCAGCTACAATACACTAGCAGAAAAAATCAAAACAAGAATTAACATTAACTATCTATTATTGATGTACATCTTTTCAGAAAACCAAGAACTTAATCAAATCAGACAGAATTTCTCTCTCATTAATTATGCAATTAAAATGTGAATTATAAAATCAGTTACAAGACAGTAATTGAATACATCCCCACAGTGGGCCCCTTGTTAAATTCAACGATCATTACCTTTAATTCCTGGCAGATCAATACTAGCATGTTCATGAATACCAATACCATTACGAATTATCCGTAGTGAACCTTCTTTATAGGCACCAGAACAAGTGACAAGCTAAGCAAGAAAACATCAGATAGTATGTCAATTCAAGTCAGTATGGTTTAATGGTATTTCAATGTTGTGTCATACATAGTAATGTAATCTAGTAATTGTTGTCACATTTATAACAGAGGTCAATAAAGCTTTAAAAGACCATGCTTTTTATTTAAACTCAAGAATAAATTTGTAATTTATAGTTTTTCACAATTACGGGCATTTCTGTTGTTTTACAAAATTTAGGCAAATGATGGTTTTAATATTATCATTATTTCACTTGTAACTAAATATTGCGTTGACGCATTCTGTACAAAAAATAAAAGCACATACTTTAAAGTATATTAATATTCCAATCATTATTAGAATATGCCTCACTTACCTGTCCCTGTCCTTGCCTTTCCAAGTCTACAACAACCATATCAACAATAGGTCCTAGGTTTATAAATGTCTCCATCACTTGCACATAAGAACCTTGCTCATTGGGATCAATGTTCAACTTTCAAACACAAAAAAGAAATCAACATCAAACAGTGAAATCAACATAAAAGACTGTAAATATTTTAGCTAAATGAAAGTACCAGTAGATCTAGGAGACAGGACAGGTAAATGTCGTTTTTTTGGACCTTTTTCTGCTGGCCAATGGACTTTTAATTTTTCCATTTTATGTACGTGCAAGTGCAAAAGCTTACTGAGCATATCCACCATTTTGACACTGTAACCATAATCCATGTTTGGGACTAGTTGAGTGGACTATGTGACAATATTCCTCTCATAATGTGTTTGTGGCAGCTTCGTTGCATGAACCAGGCCTTCTAAAACCCCAAAACATTACAACCCCTCTTGATCTTTTACCACCCCACCTATCTTCTCTAAAGTCACAACTCAAACAGGAGAGCTTTGGACTCCTGCTCGAGTCAGAGACAGTCATCCAGGTTGACCCATTTTTGGTGTTTACTCCTCAAGCAGGATTTTAATTAATACTTGATCCACGAAAACCAGCATCTTGCACTTGGTGCAACAACAACTGTGCTACTGGTGATTTACTGGGTAAAACGTCACCTGCTGTCTTTTCTGCTATGTGAAAAGGCTTTCAGTTCAGCATACTATTTTCACTGATGGAAATTTTTTTTTTCCATGGATTTTATAGGATGAGAATATTTTGTGATTTTTACTGACTCATAGGAGTCACTGTACATACGCACATGTAGCAGCAGTGTTATCAACATGCATCTCAGAGCAAATGGCCCTAATAAATAATTACAAATAAATAAATAATAAATAATTAGTGGGTGGCATCGAAAGTTATTTATTAGGGTCATTCGTTTTGTACATGTATATGTGACTCCTACAATGTAAATGACTGGCATTTTCCAGGAGACATATTTTTGAGAGTCAGTAAAAATCAAAAAATATTGTAGTGTTATGTAAATTACAAAGACCTGGTGCTCATATTTAGTCTAAACGCAGGAATTGAACACACACCTTTACTAACTGTGAATCACCCAGTCTGGAGCCAACGTAGACAACACCATTATCTAAATATGTCAAACATTCTGCTATAGCAGTCTGTAATTTAAAGAGAAACAGAATTAGTTTTCTATATAGACAATAGTTAGCTCTAGAGGAAAGGTCTGCGACAAACAATAATCCAGATAAATATAGGTACAGAGAGGAAAACAAGCAGCCTATCGGCTGAGATAGCTCCGCTGTTAGCAATGCACATTTCAATTAAAGAACTGAAGACATCATTAGAAAATGAACAATATGAATACAGTGGCCCCTCGCTAAGTCGCGCCTCGGTAAGTGGCGATTCGGCTAAGTCGCGGGTACTTGGATGGCTCCCAAAATTTCTATTGTGTTTTGACAGCAATTTTGAAGTACAAAGACTAATGTTTCGTGGCATAGTGTTTTTAACTAACCGTTAAAGAGACAACTTAACACCCACTGTCCGTCAATTGCTGAGACGCAATGAGCAACAGTGGCCTTACTCAAGGTGTCAACAGGGGTGTCGAGTAGTGACCGTACGTACTTCTTGGCCGGTCCCATTTTGGTATACCTCTACAAAAACTCGCTACAATGAGTTGAATTCATAGAATTCTGATCTCTATTTCTCAATTGAGCAGCATGTCAAAGCGAAAGCTATACAGCCTGTTCGTACGCCATAAACTCACGGCGATCGACCATGTCAAACCAAGTTAAGGGTTGCACGTGGTTGAGCCCACTATTCGTGGGTGGGTAAAAAATGAAAAGTAAATTTGTTTTCAAAGTTGACCAAGAGGCGGGACTGAACAGAAAAACAAGCGAAAGTGTCCGACAATGATGACACCGATAAAGCTGTTTACGTTTCTTTAAGAACGGTCTGCCGGAACTCCACTATCTGGTCCCATCACCCAATGCAAAGCATACAACTCAGATATCTGTCTACCTGTCGGAACTTTTCCCGAAAAACTGAGAGAAATTATCTATGAAGGTGGTTATTTTGACGAACATGTTTATGATTGCGATGAAACTGGTTTATTTTGGAAGCTGTTACCGTCAAAGTCGCAAGCAACAGCAAGCGGCCCACATAATATCAGACACAAACAAAATAATCAACGCAATGTTTACAGCAAACATAATCATGATTTTATTCGAATACTGCCTGACACATGTGATGATACATCAATTAACTAAACCGAGGGTTTATATGTGCTTTTTATATGTTTTTCAATGCACGACCTCCCTCTTTCACGACGTCCCTCGGTAAGTCGCGGCCCTCGATAAGTCGCGGTTTTTGCTTGGATCCCAACACCCGCGACTTAGCGAGGGGCCACTGTAGTATCAAAGCAATCGGACTTACAGTTTTTAACAAGAAGTCGAAAATATCACTTTTTACCAAAAATTACAAAAATATTCACCAAAATAAATTAATTAGAGAATTGAAGATATCATCACAAAATGAACAAATCTGAGAGAGTTCCACATGTAGTACCTATATATGTAATATCAAAGCAATTGAACTATTGATTTTTAACAAGAAGTCGAAAATATCACTTTTTACCAAAAATTACAAAAATATTCACCAAAATTAGAGAATTGAAGATATCATCACAAAATGAACAAATCTGAGAAGAGGTCCGACGTGTAGTACCTATATATGTAATATCAAAGCAATCGGACTTGCGGTTTTTCAACAAGAAGTCGAAAATATCACTTTTTACCTAAAAATGACAAAAATATTCACCAAAATTAGAGA